AATCCTCATCCATCCATCAGAATGTAAATGTATATACACTGTAAAAAGGCATTTATACCACAATATTTCAGATATGTGAAGGGTTTTCATCTCTGCCATACCTCTTCTCAACAGCACATCAGTCAATAAGTTAGCATTTATGGCAGCATTCATGTTTTTATCATTTCCATGAGGAGGCTTGGCTCCTTCTGTCGTTTGGGATCAAAACCGAATACAATCAGATTTGTTCAGACAAGTGACATTATCATATATACAAACACTGATGGGAGCTTTCTTTACTTGGATGTAACATTTAAGCTGCTTCGCTGGGTGCTGTTTGATATTTCAGAGCTGCTATATTGCATTTTTATATCTGTACTGTTTAGATTGGATTACATATTAATCTCAGCAAGGGGTCAGAATACAAGTTTATTGCATTTTACTCTTTCAAACGGTATCTACCTACATGCCACTGAACCAAACACACCAGAAATTAGATCTTTTAACACTTCTCTCAGAAAAACATGTATACCCTTGCTGGCGTTTCTTTCAAAGAGCATTTTTAGTAGTAGTAGCATTTTTTATTAGTAAAGCATTTTTGTTGTTGGGTGACAGTTTCTCATGAATAATATATAGAAAAGATACAACAAGCAACCCAAGGCAGATTGAGCTACCTATGAAGCCTGGATAAAGCATGCTCTTATTTAAGTGCTATATACACCCACAAAACACTTGCAGTAAAACAAGAGGAAAGATATAGCAGGATACAAATACACATCTACATACATCAAGAGCTTCAGAAGTTGATAACAGGCCTATTAAAACTGACAGCTCTGTCAATCTGAAGACTTTTTGGTTTCAAAAGTTATTCAGCTTACAGTAAAATTAAAAAAAAAAAAAAAAATTCTTACATGTATTGTCCACATGAGTGTTTTAAAGGTGTGAATGCAGCTGATGAACACATTTAAAGGTTGTAGATAAAAAATGTAAACATTATTATAGCAGCAAACAACTATTTTCTTTGCAAAGATATAGTGGAATAATAGCCTCTGAGCAGAGAAAGAAGTCACTCCCCCTTTATACGTGTAGTATCACCAAAACATAAAATCATCAAAACATCCATAAAGGTTTTCTCGGCTGTCAGTGTCTTGACTGGGCCTGAATCTCTGTGTACCTGGAAGGGCTGGTCCCAGTGGATAATTCCAAGGCTGAATTTCTTTCCCAGGCCAACTGTAGAGCCAATACTGATCTGGCTTTTCCACGATGGATAGCCCTACAAACCGCTAAAGAGCTCCAGCTTGACTTAGAAGTGGCTTTTGATATTCTAACGTTAGCTGTTATTGATATTATGAATTTGTATAGAAAATGTTGCTAATGCTAGTTGGCTTAATGCCAGCATTGCCGTGGAGCATATCATGGCAATGCCAGCATGACATAATTTGTGATGTATATACACGATAATGGGCACAGTTTTTTTTTCATTTAATTTTGGAAATCTTTCAACCAAAGTTGCAGGTTGTGTATGTTTAGATTGTTAGAAAATTCAATTTTAGTGCAACAATTCAAATTGGAAAAATGTAACCCAGAATCCCTGGTTCCAGGAAAGGTTAAATTAAACCACAGAGACAATGAGGTGATAATACAGAGCTGTGCTGCATCCTCAGAGCCTGACAGCTGAGTCATCATTTGATATAAAATTATAGTGTCACCTCTCTCCCATCCTCAGATACGCAGGGTGAGATTACAAAAGAACAGCTGCTGCAAGATAAAGGGATAGACAGACTGATTATTTCTCATCAGTCATTACTTGTGCACACAGCTCCATCTTAGACACACCACTAGTGGTCACTAATAAGCCTCAAAGCCCTCTAATCTACACTATGTGATCAGAACGTGGCATATGGTATTTTGTCTGTCAGCCTGTTACCGGTGCCAGTCAGGCCACCACACAGCAGGGGTTGAAATGGTTATCATTCTGGGTGACTGCCTTCTCAAGTTTATCCCAACTTTGCCTTTGGTCCACACTCAGTTAAATGACTTAGTGCCACTCAAGAGCAGATCAACATGCTTACAGGTCAGGGTGTTAATGAGAGGACCTTAGCGTTTTCCGCTGAGGCTGACAAAGGCCAGGTGGAGGTGGAGAGTTATAAAGGGGAAAGGTAGCCAAGTGGAGATGTTCTCTGTACCTGCATAGTCCTATAGGCCTAGGCCCTTTTCATCCGTAACTACAAGCTGCTCTGCTGCACCGAGGCCTCTAACACAGGTAAGCAAGTTTCTCTCCATTCCCTCAAGATTTCAACTTTTAAAATTTATGTGTATAATAACCAGGATGAAAGTAAAGAGTAGCACAAGCAGGGATCTATAATTCAACCAATCTACTGCGCCAAGGAGCCTGGCATTCAGCCAAGAGGGATAGAGGAGTGGCGGGATAGAGCAGATAGAGCGCTCTGCCAATGCTGTAATGCCTGGCACAGGTGCATTGTTAAAGACACTGTTAAAATGATTCATTTTCAATCCAATAATCTGCAGCACACTATAAGATGTCCACAAAAGGTCAATATAGCATCTAAATGACTGCTAAATATGTTTTTCACCTTGAAACAGGAGCTGAACTTCAAACCCAGGAGAATATCCATCACAAATGAGATTTCACTAATAACACTAATAGCAATTCTGTAATCTTGGACAGATCATTCCCACTCGAGTACTATAGCTGCTAAACTGGACAGAATGCTGAGGACTGACCTTGAGGATTGACAGTGTCCACAGTGCTGATTTTGAGACATAGGCAGTCTTTCTAGTTTGTAACAGATGGTGCTAAGATAAAATAAGACTCACCTGGGGATAAAAGTAAAGCAAAAAGTAAAATCAATTTTCAATTTACTTCAATATGGGTTCTGTGGAAAAAAATATTAAACATAACCTTGGATGAGTGATCTCTTAAACGCTGTTTGCAGTTATGAACTTTGAGGAGATAACATACAGTTTTGGGATCGATTGATGACCACCTAGGTTTTCTTAATCTATGATTTTTGCCTGCTTAAGCTCATGCAAATTTTTAAGATTTAGAGCCTTTGAGCCAGATATCATCCAATGACTTTCCTGCAGACCTTGTTTCACCGCAGCTTTTCATCCTGGCCTTTTATTTCCAATGAAAGAATGAATTATTCAGTTTTTTGCTCACTTCAAAGCCCTTATTTTGAGTTGGTGTATTGCTGTATGCCTTCTATGTTGTGTCTGTGCCATTATACTCTCAAAGCCTGAAGCCATCTGGTGGAATTTCACAGGAACACCGCAGACCATGTATAGCTAGAAATTTTAAAACAAAGTGGACTTGTAATGCTTGGTTGTCATCAAGAATGGGCTGATGAAATTTGAACATCACTTCATCCTTTAGCTTTCAACCACTGGGCTCCGAGGTATTACGTATTGAAAGATCGATTCAGTCTAACTCTTTGTCTTTGAAACCTAACATGATAAAAATTTGATCAGATGTGTACTATTTTGTGTGTGAACTTTTTCTATTTGTTCTCTGCCCAAGAGGTCTCCCTCCTATGGCCAGGGTACCATTGGCAGTGTCCGTGATGCTACTGCTGGTGCTCTACTCCCACGGGGTGTCCTCGGCCCCTGCCCAGCACCTGTGTGGGTCCCGCTTGGTGGATGCCCTCTACTTCGTATGTGGAGAACGGGGCTTTTTCTACAGTCCAAACCGACCCCACAAGCGGGATCTGGAACATCTTCTCGGTATGGCTGCATTAACTCTGGGAACTGTTGTGATTTTTGGTGTGACTCGTGTCGAGTAAGTTCTAATTGTACCCTTGATGGTGGGAGTTCAGAAAGGAACAGCATGACATTGCCCCGAGACCCCAGGCTGGCTTTGTATCTCTGCAAGTCTCTGCCCACCATGTTCTAAGTTCAGGCCCAGTCTAATGAGAATGCCAATTTGGATGCTGGCTGGAGGAAAAATGTGTAGGGGCAGCATGCTGGAAACTTTGCTGAACTAAACCTATGTATTTGTCCGAACCATCATTAGTGTGAGAAGCCTCTCTCCGGCCTCTTTTGAATTCACTACTGTGGCGTGGCTCTTGGTTTCTTATCGTTACTTTCAACAGCTATGCTGTGACAAATTCAATAAACGCAAATCTTGTGAAATCCCCAAATTCCTCATTAAGTTATTCCCAAAATGCATTATTTGGATCTTCCGCCTCAAACATTCATTTGATGTTTTGAAGTTAACTTTAGAGGTGTAAGCTACGATATGCCTCTGTTGGAGCTCCGTCATATCTCCTCTTGAAGTAGATACTAACAAGACTAAATGGATTGGGGAGATCAGATTACGTAGTCATTAAGGCTGCATTAAAGTGTGAACAGACTAAATGGTAGTTTGAGGAACTGTGGGTTTGCGCAGCAGCAGTAGCAGCAGCAGGAATTAACACACAGCTATGGATACTTTCTCCACTTCAAAGGGTTCCTGTCTAAAAGGGCCAGACAGGAGCAGCGGCTGTGGATGGCTCTGTCTGACCATGATGAGCCCAAGGTGAAGAGAGGCATCGTGGAGCAGTGCTGCCATAAGCCATGCAGCATTTACCACCTGGAGGGGTACTGCGAGTGACCCGCCACTCCACAACTAGCACCACTCATAGCTTGTAAAAAGGTCCCGAAGTCAATTTCTGGCCCGATACTTGCTGGCTATGTCTTATCAACTGAAGGAAATAAAGCTTCATGACCCATAACCCAAGGCTCCTCTCTGCAAAGATGTGAATTTGTGTTCTTTGTAGCTGGTATATAGTGTGGATGAAACATGGGTTGCAATAGCCTTTTGCTGTGCTCCAACCTGTGGCTGCAGTCCTAGAGTGCACTCTACTGGATGAGGACGGACATGGCCAAGAAGACCGAAGCAGCAAAGGCTTTGTAAACATAATTTTTACATTGGGGAAGTTAATAAATCTCAGTAACACTTTTGTTTAAGAAGAGTATTAAAATCTGTCTTTATTTACAAAGAAGAAAGGTTTCTAAAGAGCTATTCCACATGAAATAGTAATTGCTTCTGCTGCACTAAGATTTCTATAAAAAGTTACAAAGTTAAAATTCGAAAATGCAGTTAACAGTAAAACACATCTTACATTTTTATTGCAACTATGTGCTCTGGATTGTGAGCACTTAAGTTTTCCATCCATGTCCTCGTTATTTTCACACATTACTCTTGTACACACGCACGCACACGCACACACACTTCTTTTTTAAAAATCAAAACAGAAAAATATTCAGGCTCTTTATGCAACACAAAGGATTGTAAAGCATCGGCATGTGGGAACAATGATTAACACATGTTAGAGGTTGCTAAGTATTCAAAAGACCAAACCCTAGAAACTAAATTTGTCAGCCAATTAGTTGTCAGTTCTTGTTTGGTAGACGACCTCCATTATGCATAATGATTCCCTGACGAAAACAAACAAAGAAATTAGGCTTCCACACAAATAAGGTGAAAATCATCAACAAAAATGTAAGATATATGTCTTTTCACAGCTTTTCATAACTCCAAATGGTGTTGTAGTGAGGGGTCAGTGTGCTGCTTACCTTCTTTAAAAGGTTCACTTGCTTCAGTTTGCCTGTTTTCCTTGTCGTGTTGGAAAGCTTTGCTTGGATCAAACCTTCGGCGGGGAGCACCAGGGAGTTTTGACTTCAGCTGCTCCAGATCACTCTTCTGCCGGCTCACCTGGGAGCGAAGCTTAGACACCTCCTACGCACATGCATGTACACACACACAGCCAGGGAAAAAAGGGATGAAGTACAAGCACTTGAGCTTGAGAGAAAGAGTGTGTGTGTGTGTTTCCGCCATAGGCTAATTTTGGTGACACACTAAAGACCAGTTAATTGGGGATGGCTTGTCCACCTGGGGACAAAAGCTGTGCCCCCAACTGGGACAAAACTGATTTCTGGGTCAGTGGTTAAGATAAGGGCTACGGTTAAGCAAGTAGTGGTTATGGTAATTCTCCAGGAAATGAATGAATGTAATGTCCCCAAAAGTAACCTATGACAATATTTGTATGTGCGCTTTGGAAAGTAGACAGTGCTATTCTCATATTTGACCTGTTTCAGGGAGATGTTCTCATCTTTCAGCTTCATGACATGTTTGATCTTCTGCTTCTGGTTCTGGTGGCCCAGCAGGCGAGCGTAAGCGTCAGCCAACTTGTTTAACTCCTCCTGGTTTGTCCCGTTCTCATTGAGGAGTGCATTTCGCTCTGCTGCAAACGCATTGAGCTGTTCCTGTGGGCACACACGGGGGCACGCACACACGCACGCACACGAACATTGAGAGGGTTTTAACTCATCGATTCGTTTAACTTAAATTGACATGAAATGATTGTTTTGACCACTTGGGGGCAGTGGAAAAAGCTGTAAAAATAACACTGACATATACCACTATCATCTTTATATGGCAAACCATTGCCCACATCAAGCAGAGGGAGCAACAGCATTCATATGGAGTTGTAGTTCTGGCCACAAATTCAACTCTCCAACTGCTGAGGGCAAAATCCAGCACTACACCAAAATGTATCTGTATGCTGTTTGGTGCTGAACATGTAACGTACAGTGGGTTTACCAGACTGTTTTTGCTTAAAACAGCTGTGCTGGGACTGGAGTGTTGAAACAGAATCAAAACACTGACATATGTTGGTTTGGTTGACACAATATGTCCTGTAAAACCAAAACCATGAGTTGAAAGACACCAAAATGCTACTGAGCGCTAGGTGGAACAGCAGTGACGGGTGATAATTATCTGTGGTTTCATCACTAAGAGTGACACCTTTCACATTACACATTTTTTCCATTGTTCATATAAAAATAATGATTAGTGCAGCTTTATTCAAAGATGTTCTGGGCTATCCTGAGATTTCACATTTTACTTAATTGATGTGGAAATGACTGACCTGGAAGGGCCTGACTTTAGCAAACAGCTCCTCATATCGTTTCCTCCAGTGTTCTGTCTCTGAACTTGGAGAGCTTAGAAAAAACGATTGATGAGTTAATTTGCAAATTGTAAAAAACAAATTAATAAAAATAAAAAATCTCCAAATCTCACACACAAAAAATCCTACTCACCTTTTCTCTTGTGCTTCTGTTATTTGTCTTTGGAGCTCCTGTCGCTGCTCCTCCATCTCCCACTGCAGTGTAACCTTCTCCTGAGTCAGTACGTCTACCTGCTCCTGCAGGGCCCGTCTGTCTTGTCGTTGCTCTTCCAGCTCGCCCTGCATGGCCTCCATGAGGTCTAACTGGGTCTGGATGGTCACACACTCTTCACGTTCAACATCATCTAGGCGAGACTGAAGCTGGTTTCTCTCCTGCTCTGCCACGTTTAGCCGATCTTCAAGAGCGAGCTTGGACCGGTCTTTGACTTCTACTTGAGACAGAAGATTCTTCTTTTCCTCGTCTACTCTCTCAAGATCGGCCTTTAGTCTGAGCACTTCTGACCTGACCTGCTGGTGGTCTTTCCTTTCAACCTCCCATGCTCCCCTTTCCTCTTGACGGGCTGTTTGAATTTTAACTCTCTGCTCTCTTTCTTGTTGAAGCTGTTCCATCATTTCCTCTTTTTCCAGGCTGACCTCCTTTAGTAATTTCTGTACCTTTTCCTTCTCATTTTGGAGCTGAGCAACACTCTGACTTCTCTGTTCCTCCAGTTCCCCCAGAGCGTCTTCTTTCTCCTTTGTCTGCATCTGTAGCTCCTGCTGTAACTGACTGATCAGACCAGCGTGATTCATCTCCATGGTCTTCATCTTCTCATCTTTCTGTGCAAGGTGAGTCTGCACCTCCAGCAAAAGTCTATCAGGTCAAAGAAAAAAGAAACATAAAAACGGAGGAAAAGTGACAGTTATTTCAACACAGGCTGAATTTTAAGCATACCTCGCATTCTCCTCCCTGGCTTTTGCTTCAGCAAGCTGTCTCTCCTCATGCTCCTCTAACCCCTCTTTCACTCTCTGGATTTCCTCTTCTTTCTGCTTAATCACTTTGTCCATCTCCTCCTTCATCTGCTGGGTCACTCTCTCCACCTCCTCTTCCAGTTCTCTCTGTCTCTCCTCTGCTCCCTTTAGAGCCTCTTTGGCACTGAGAAGTAAGACAAACAGTATGTGAATCTTACACGTTGACAGAATCTTAAGCTAAATGCCAACATGAATCACAATGATGTTCCAAAAATACTGACACTTGAGTGCTCACCTTTCCAGCTCTGTGACAATTTCTCCCATCTTGCTCAGTGAATTTGTTTGTGCTTCTTGGAGTTCTCTCTTGGCTGCTAAATGCTCCTCTTCCAAAGCTGCCACATCATTGCTCTTACTAAAAATTAACAGGACACATTTTTGATACGTTAAAATCTTGACTTTGTCGCACCAAAACATAGTTCATGGTGCCATTGAAATGATACAAGCATCATAATGCAATGCAATACATTATTTTATTTCATTCATTTCTAATAGTTGTATGGGAGAAAATGAATTTGTACAACTGCAGCTGCAAGGAGGTATAGGGGAAGCTCAACTAATAAAAGTTGATATAAAAATATAAGGAAAATATGCAGCCAAATAGGATGAAATTTGTGTAATCTTTAGTAAGTTTACAATAACCAGTCAGCTGCCTGTCAACTTGAGTCTGTTGTCACCACATGCAGCAACTGGAAGTGAATGTTGGGTAATATAAGTCTATAAGCAATAAATAGTTGAAATGGTTATCTGAACAGCTGCCATAGTTGGCTAAAAGTAACAGATGAACAGTTACAATTGTAAGCTAAAAGTAAAAAAAAACAAAAACAAAAAACAAAATATTGGTTAAAAGGATGATACCTGCAGCAAACTTGAATTGAAATGTATTAACATTCCATTATAATTAATAGGGTTAAACAATTACTCTAAATATTATCAAAAATCCCAATACGACCAAATGCAATATCCAATTGTATATATATAATATTGTGGGCAAATATCAGACAAAAAAAGATTTGGAACCACTTAATTAAACAATTAATCAGATAATCCACAAAAAGTTGTGTTGAGTGTTAAACCCCACTGTTTTCTCACCATTATTTTCAAATCAACCAGTCTCTACCAAACTGTCTAATAAAAGCAAAAAACACGCTCACTTCCAGGTGCCCTGGTTCCACTCATATTCCAAAAACGAGGTAGTGAAGTGACTTGCAAACTTGAAATTGCTCATGAACAGAAATAGACAGTGACCCAAACTGTCTGTGTCAAAATTGTGATGGAATGGCAACCTGTCAATTATTTTTCTTGACTTTGAACTCACTGTATGCTGGGACATGTTCCCAGCTGCCTCTGACTCTAAATAGTAACACAGGCAGTGACAACAAATCCAAAAAAAGTGGTGGTGTTTTAGTGTAGTCAGCAGGACATTTTTAATGGAAATATGACTTTCAAATTCCATCATGACTCTTTAGCTGAAAATGTTTGGATGCGCAACTTTCACCTTTACTGTTTCTTTTCTGTTAGAAAAGAAACAGTACACTTCCTCTCAGTGTATTTGGCCTTTGGATGCTCACCTCTCCATCAGTGCCCTGGTATCACTCAGTCTTCTCTCCAGCTCACTGTTTTCCTCCTGCAGCCTCTGGAGGGTCTCCTGGCTCTTTTCCGCCATCTCCTGCCTCCTCTGCTCCTGCTCCTCCAAGAGAGCGAGCTCTCCCAGCACCTCCTCCGTCTCCTCCTTTAACTGTCTAAACCGCTCCTCGGACTCCTCCCTCTCCTGCTCCACCAGCACAGACAGGGAGTCTACAAGCGCCTGTAGGAAATAGGAAAAATTAAGTTAATATAATCTAATCTAAAAAAGAATTTGCAATGTAGGAGAAAACGTTGTGTGACCTTTTCTTTTGTCAGTTCCTCAGTAAGAGCAGCATTTTCTTGCTGGAGCTGAATGTGTTTCTTTTTCTCGTCTCTTTTAACCTCCGTTAGCACGTTGAGCTCTGTCTTTAACTCCTGCACTCTCCTCAGCCCCTCCTCCTGAGTCTTGCCTAAAACCAAACAACAAAATACATACAATGCACACATCACACAACTGTCAATTCATTTTTGCTATTTAAATTAACAATGACAAAATCTTGGTAAACATACTTCTCTCTTCCTCAGAGAAAAGACACCGCTGTTCAAGATGAGCCACTCTCTCATCTAGCTCCTTCTCTGTCCGTCTGAGCACCTCCCTTAGTCTAGCGAGCTCCGCCTCCTGCTGCCGAACTGTCGCTTGAGAATCGTGAACTTCTTGGTTGGCCAACTTCATTTGCTCCTCCATGTCACTCACTGACTTTTGCGCAGACTTTAGCTCCAGCTCTTGGTCCTCCAACCTCTTCTCCACATTCCGTAAAGCATCCTTTGACGCCTGCAGTTCTTGCTGGCATTTCTGTGCCTCCTCCTTTTTAAGCCTCAACACATCTTGAGTGGTTTCTAGCTCAGTCATGTGCTGCTCTAGTTGGGGTTTTAGGTGCCTGTGGAGAGGTGACAAATGAGCGTCATTGTGTGCAGTTGAGATCTAAGTTGCTTGGAGGAACCATTAGTCTTTTGCTTACTTTACTTTCTCCAACTGAGAACCTGCGACAGTGTTCTCCTGTGTCTTTTCTTGGAGTTTCAAGCGTAGATCCTATAAACACACAAATAGATCAAGCATGTCTTTCACAAAGTAAGACTAAAAGGTGAAAGACAGATGTTCACTTATAGGCCTGTTTTGTGACCTGGATTTGATCATTGGCTGTGTCCAGGTATCCCTGCAAGACTCTGATTTCCTCCCTCAGCTCCCGTATCATGGCTAGAAAACACAGAATAGTGGGTAGTGGTGAGCAAGCGAACCCAAAAATACAAGCAGGGATTAAGTTACGTGTAACATTTATGTTATTTGTACATCAAGTGCAGTACTAGGGACATACAGACATCTTTATGTGCAGCAGACTCGATGAGAAATCTGATAACTAGGCCCTAGATGTTGAAAACGTGTATGTGTAACGTGTGTTTTCCTTACAGTTTGGGTCAACATGAACAAAGGAATGTAATGGAAAAAGCATGTCATACACAAATCTCACCATGTAACTTAGCATTCTCATTCTCCAGCTCTTCGTTATGGATTTTCGTCACTTGATGTAGGTCCTCTATAATAGGTAAAAAACCCTAATTAGTTCATCTACACATGCTAGCAAATGCATTTGTCTCCCTATATGTTCATAAATCTTACCCAAGTCCTTGTTCCTGTCCTTTAGAGCTGTAACAGTAGCCCTGGCAGCCTGGAGGTCAGTTTCTAGGGCCTTCAGGTGGCCTTCAGTGTTAATCTGCAGGACACTTAACTCCTGGACACATGTATAAAAACACAAACACACACACACAGTACATCAATAAAAAACTAATGCAGTAAATTAGGGATTTTACAGAGTTATGAAGGTAGTATGTGTACACAAGTCATACCTTGTTTTTAACATCCAAAGTGTTCCTGGCTTCCATCAGCTCCATTGTTAGAGAATTGATTCTCTTTTTTGTAGTGTCAGCAGAAACCTAAAAAAAAACATCTGCTCAGACACACTTTTCATGCAGCACTGCTAAAAAAATTTCAAAATTTGTTTTTAGTACCTGAGACAGGTATAATCAAGGCAGGATTTCTAAATACAATTTACCATCAAAACCAAACACACCTTGTTTTTGAGGAACTCATTAACTTTCTTGAGCTCAGTCCGCTGTCTTTCAAGTGTGGTAACACTGGCAGCAAGGCCTGTCTTCTCCCTGACTGTGGCCAGCAGCTTGGCCTCCACCTTCTTCAGCTCCTCTTCCAAGGCCAGCAACTGACGGTCCTGCTCCCCCCGCTGCTGAACCAGGGACCTTATCTGTAAGGATGTGAAGCTCAGTGTTTGACTCCCAAATAATGAAAAATTACATGTAAATGCTCTTTGGTTTAGCAATTTTTCAGAGCAACAGGAACCAACTGTCACAGAAAAAGACATCAATTTGCACAACATTGTTTTTGTAAAGTGTACCTCTTTCTCCAAGAGTTTCTGCTGTTTTCTTTCCATGGTCATGCCATTCCTCTCTTTCTTTACACTTGACCCTTCAACCTAAGTTATGAAATGATATAATGAGGGGATAGTTTCTTGACAGCAGCACAACTACCAGATCTGTTCATTGTAAAGCCGTAGAGTGGCTTTATTAAATGTTGAATTGACAGAAAACTTACAAGACCATCAACCGACATAGTCCTACGGACAGGTGACGCCAGGACATTTCTGGAAGGCGATGGTGGAGGCATAGCAGCCCCAGCGGCTGGAGACACAGGCAATGAAAACAAGTGGCACAAAACATTACGTTTTAAATAACGTTATTTCTTAAGTTTTCTTTCCTTGTTGTATTGTGCTTATCAGATTTACCCACCTGCCTTGAGAGGTCTAAATCGATCAGATTTGTCGAAGGACGCAGCTCCCTTCGGGTCCCCAGGTTTAATCTCATAGGATCCCGGTGGAGGGGCACAACCTTCATCCAAAAGCACAACGTTAGCCAAGTTAGCGTCAAGCAAACACTGATGCTACTTCTTTGTGAGATTAAATATCTAGCCCACGTTGGATTGCTTTGTTTTTACTTGTTTACATTAATTTAAGTGAAGCTAACACGATACCAGATCGACAAAGTGTAATACTTGTTGTCTTCGTAACGTATGAAGGCTAACGTAAGCTACTTACCGTCAAAGAACTTAACCTAGGTGGATATGCTACTAGCTAGTAGGTTTTTGGCGATACTTACCTACGTGCTCGTTGAACCTTTTCAATGGAGCTCTTGAAAAAGACATTTCTCAGCCAGTGTATGTAACTAATTTTGAATTTCGAGTTGTGCTGATAATGCTGCAACGCAGCGCCCAGTGACTCACAACAACAAACGCTTCACCGCTGAAATTTCAAAATAACGTCATACGTACGTTTACGTACGTGTGGCCAATAGACATCCAGTCTTGGGTGACGCACGCCCCTCCTCGAAGTCTGTCCGAAAGAGACGTGTGTAATATTTGTGTAATTGAAATTAAAATTTTCCTCATGACATGAACCCCACCTGACCTTAGTGTACTCAATGGTAGATTTAAGTGCCAGTTGGTCAACAAACCTATCCAGCTATCTGAATTCTCTCTCTCGCTCTCTCTCTCCTCTATATATATATATATATATATATATATATTTATATATATTTAAAAGAGGAAAAGTCAAGAAGCACCTGAAGAGACAATTCTGTTGAAGATACAATTCTGTTGACAACTTTAAAACTGCACCTAAAGGTAGAACCCACTGAAGACCAACAACGTTAATACAACTTCATTTCTTCAGTTAAACATTTTTTTTTATTTCATGGAAATACAACATAATTTCAAATCCTTTGCAGGACCATTGTTGTACATTTTATACTCTTTTCTCCATTTTTTTGTACTTGAAAACATGGTCACTTGTACAACAATATCATAAACAAAGCCTCATGTCACAAATGGAGCCATTGATGACAATAAATTACACTTGCCATGCTAAGGTTTCAAGATGATACATTGGTACCTTCATTTTTACTAGATTAACCTTTAAATGAACAAGAAGTCAGAGTTGAATAAATATGATAAAAAGACACTGGAGTTACAAAAGAAACTTTCTTCATTGAAAACAGAGCAGAAAAAGATCACAGGGCTATTTGGGGAGGGTTACTTATTAATAATTAATGTTTTCCTTCATATGAAAAAAAATAGGGACAATTTTTGCATATTTTTGATAACACTGCTAAACCTAAAGCAAAAATCCATCAATAGTAAATACTGACTATACTTAGGAAACCGCCCTTTAATTATAACTGACATTTTAGTTATGGTTTTTTTTTTGTTCCTTTATGTGCAGAGTTTATGTTTCATAGGTCTTCTAGACCGACAGCATCCATTCACACTCAAAACAGGTTAATCTAGTACAGCACTGTCTGTATACAACCTAGAGGTATTTTCTAGTCTTGTTCTTTTATCTTTTTTTTTACTCTTGAAAAAGCAAACACATTTACCCAGATGAAGATGTGTCTTTTCCAAATTGTAAATAATATCACTGTATTCATGTACAGAATATAAAAATCTTTCCAACAGACAAAAAGAGAGAGAAAAAAAAAACAGTGGATGAGGTTTCCAGTCAGTAGTAGAGAGGCAACTATACCAAGGATGTGTAAATTAAAATATTAATAATTAAAAACAATAACAATTACAACACTCAACACTGCACTTTGTTCAACAGTGAAATTTACAGTGGATCTTGGTACCGAATAAAAACGTGTCAGGAGGAGGCAAGAAAACCAGACTGGAGGGTAAGATGAATAAAAGCAAATCAAAAATGCAATGCATCTTAATTCCTTTGAAAGCAAGCAGGTGTAGAAGGAGGCATGAAGAAGTATTCAAATGCATCATGATAGACACTATGTATCATGAACACGGGCAGATCAGATTATTACACAAATGAGCGAGGAGGAGTTTGAAATGCAGCACGATAAACAAGTTTGGGTCATATAGAGGGCACACATAATGATAGCACAGGTGTTCTGGTGCCTGTGCTAGTACTGTTAGTAGCTGTAGTAGCACTTAAAGAGCACCATGTTGCACTTAAAATAACTTTATATAACTTAGAAAATTAGTTATTTGTTGCATTATTTCGTACTTTATTTAAACCTTGTTAGATTTTGTCTCAGCTCTTGATTGCAAATTCTGAAAGGCGTTTATGACTCAGAATGGCTGTTACTTCAAACAAGTGGAGCCAAAGAGGGCTTCAGATCATAGGATAGACATACTCTTTTGGCATTTGTGTCAGTGGTCCATTCCACAGGTGTGCAGCTGAGGGAGTAAGAGAAGGCATGCATGAGTCTGAGTGAGAGCCACACAGACGGTAAAAGAAAAAGAAAAAGGTGTGAATATACGCTTTCACCTCTGGTCTGGACCACTTCTATGGGTTTAAAGAATCCAAAGACAGTCATAGTTTAGACAGAGGAAAAGTTTGAGAGGATTTGACTTTGGATTCTTAAACCCCAGTGGGGAGTCATTGTGGTAATCTTTACCTCTACAAGACCAGCAAAGAGGCAGAAATTAGTATCACAGCTATGGGGAATGTGTGTGTGTGTGTGTTTGAGAGTGTGTGTGTGCACTATGTGTGAAGGGTCTTTTTCAACAGGTGGTAGCCAGAGATTGGTGTATAGGAGGCTGGAAACAGCGAACATGCTCCACAGTGGAACTGTCTGTCTCCACTGCCTTCATGTACTTGTTCAGGATGGCAAAGATCTCATTGTTGAGGATCTGGTACTTCCTAATGCGGTCTGCCATCTTCTTCAGGGGCTGTCAAGGAAAACAGACAAGAATGGGTGTATTCAAATCATACAGAGGCAGAAAAAATAACTCAAATGTCAACTGGTATATGTGTGAGTAAATGCATAGGATGTAATATACCCACCACGTTTTTGATGATCTCGTCCTTGCCGTCCTGTCTTTGGACTTTGAGCAGGTGGTAGCAGAAATCAAAGAGGTCAAAACGACGCTGCTGTCCCAACAGCACGATGATGGCACAGCCGGCCCAGTTCAGCCCATCCCCGAAGCACTGCCTGTTAGGCAAAGCACATACGACACCGGAGTTATGTTTCCATTAAAGTGAGGCTCAAGTCTTGTGAAAAAAATGTGAAAAGGTTTCTGCAAAGGAAAATCCAATTCAGTTCACGTTTCCATCGACTACTTTTATGCAAATTTATTCCAGAGGACGTGACAAGATTTCATAATTAATTGCGCAACTCGTCTTTTCTGATCCAGGTTTACCCTGCAGTGTTTTTCTCAGCTGCTATGATGACAGAGAAAAGAGCGATATGCAAAAATGGTCCCCATCTTAAACCAAGGTGTGGTCATGTGTATGCGACACAACAATACTCTTTTAGATTTTGTTCCTTTTTGTCCCCAACGGGAGGAGGAGAAGGAGGTACTGCAACGTCAAGGTGTATTGGAAAAAAGCTGTTTCCCTTAACCTTAACCATGTCCTCTCTTGTTAGATACACCAACCGTTCCACCTCACAGCTAAGACTAAAAACTTTTTTTTGTAATAATTTGCAACTTTTTTCCACCAATTTTTCCATGTTTCCAACAAATTCCTCCAGGACAAATTCAGGGTAAAATACAGTATAACCTACTTTTTGGAGAGCATTTGCATTTACTATCAGCAAACCGAACCAACCACTTGTACCACTTTATTCTATTTTAAAGTTCTATTCCATCGTCATGTTCGGCTGCATGTGTGTTTGATCACTGAAAAAGACAAAAGTAATACCGCAAAGGCACCAGCCAGGTGTTACTTACTCTGCTGTGAACTCGTGTGTGCCCACAGGGATGCAGTAAACAAACTGCATGGCGCTCCACAGGCGGTGGAACTCCATACACTCATCAACATGCATCACACCATTGGTGGGGGGAGGCCCACGCCACACCCCATCCTGCAGGAAACTGCGGATGCGCGTCAGGATGACCTCGAACATCGAAAGGCCACAGCACAGGCGTTCTTTGGTCAGCAGGTCTCCCTCACGGGCAATGGCAATTTGCTGGTAAACAGAAAATTCAGAATATTCATAAGTGAACGAAAACAACAATAAAAGACACAACTTAATGGATCAGATCTTTCCTCGTGTATCTGCTTTTATGTTTGTCAGCATTAAACTCACTTGTGGGGTTCCCAACCTCTCAATTAGAGGCACAAGGTGGAGAGGGGCATACTTGGCTTCCAGCCTTTTCATCCTCACCTCCAGACGCTCTCCCTCTGCGTAACACGCAAACACAAGGAAGGACATGTGCAAGTTGTACAAAAATGACAGATAAATCAATGGGCACTGGGCTGGATGGGAGTAACATGTTGTATACCTTTGATGTAGACTCTGGGCAGGATGTTCTGGAACGGGGCGGCATGAAGCAGATCACACACTTCCTCCTGGGACTAAGATTCAAGCACAACACAAACACACAAACACATCATTTTCATCAAGAGCATCACCCCCTTTGCTTTATGGACACCCCTACCGAGCATGCAGGTGGTCGTGAGGTGATGTTGATTTCCTTAATTTAGTCTAGTAGAGTGTTGCTACAACTAAGGGCTAAAGCTTTTGAAGCACACTTTTAAACGACTAAAGCATTGAGAGAACAGCCATGAGCTCCACGCTGTAGGAGTGCGTTAATAGATTAGTCAACACTATCCCCAGCTTACGCACAGAAGGAGATAACTGAGTGTATGTCTGCGTGTATCATAGGGGTTAAGATTATCAAGCCATAGTGACAGGCCAACATTAGCAAGATTATAATTTGTCACACTCTAAATACAACATCCCATCTAATCTGGTTTGACAACAAAAGGGTCAAGTTTCCAAGCATCTTAATAAACTCTCATCCTCCTGGATAAAACGTCTAGTGTGTATTGTATGTGAAGTTGTGGGGTAACTCTTACTTGTCCAGCTTGCTTAAGCTTGATGGTTGTCATGGCGATTGTTAGTCAAGTTAGTCACACTACAAGTCAAACTAAACGCAAGGAGAAGCAGCATCTTGCAACCTCAGCTAAAAGGTGATGAATGAGAAAAGAGAGCCATGCAATTATACAAGCAAGACACACACGCACACCCCCAAACACACATACCTAAACACACGCAGGCAGTCCAAACTGACACACGCACGCGCGCACACACACACGCACACACACACAAACACCATACACATACAGAGGTCAGGTGCAGTCAGACAGAAATGGCAGAAAGAGTGACAGCTGAGCTAGTGTTATG